GACAAACGTGAATAAGTTTTTTGACAACTTGTATTCTGTCCTGGACAAACACAGAATTTCTGCACAGGATATCTGGAACATGGATGAAACAGGTGTGGTGGAAATTATCCATATCCTCCTTATAAACACATTCCAGCCTTACAAAATAAAAACACAAAATAACATAATATTTTTTTATACAGGAATCACCACAGTGCAAAATCCTGAAAAAATTGTGGCCAGAAAGGGAGTCAAGCAAGTAGGTGCAGTTACGTCTGCAGAACGGGGGACACTCATCACACTTGCCTGTGCAGTGAATGCCCTGGGGAATTCCATCCCACCAATGTTCATCTTCCCCCAGAAAAAAATCCATCCTTCTTTTATCAGCAATGGCCCTCCTGGCTGTATCGGTACAGCAAATGGGTCAGGGTGGATGCAAGGAGAGGACTTTTTGGTTTTCCTCAAGCACTTCCAGACTCACACCAAGTCCTCACTGGAGTCAAAAGTGCTGCTAATCCTGGACAACCATACCTCCCACCTTTCTGTGGAGGGGATTGATTTTTGCAGGAGCCATGGCATCGTCCTCCTCTCATTCCCCCCACACTGTTCCCATAAGCTGCAGCCCTTGGATCGCAGTGTATATGGGCCCCTGAAGAGGCTCGTATACAGCTGCTGTGACAGCTGGATGAAAGCTCATCCAGGAGCCACAATGACCATTTATGATCTGCCAGGCATTGTGAAGATTGCCCTTCCCCGTGCTGCATCACCGGCAAATATTCAGGCAGGGTTTGCATGCACTGGAATTTGGCCTTTTAATAGGGATATTTTCAGTGACAGTGACTTTGCACCATCACTAGTCACAGACCGCCCACTGCCAGCAATGACACCAGAGGTTCCATCTTCCTCTACAACTCCCTCACCCAATGTGACGACGGTGGCATCCTCCATGCCACTTAGAGCATCATCCCTAGTCACACCATGTGTAGTGTCCAATCCTGAGCCTGAGCCATCATCCTCTGCTATGAACACAACTTTTTCACCAGTGTCCATCTGTCCACACCCAAAAGCTGGCCCAAGAAAGCAGACGACAAAGGGCAGGAAAAGAAGGGAAACCGCTGTCCTGACAGATAGTCCCATGAAAAAACAACTGGAGGCTGAGAAAAGCAGGTGTGCACCTAAAAGAAAAATGAATTTTGGCAAAAACAAAAAATCTAAACCAAAGAAGCAGAAAATTCAGGAGTCATCTGATGATGAAAATGATTTCTGCGTTGTGTGCTTGGAAAGCTTCTCCAGGCCAGGGGAGGTCTGGCTCCAGTGCTGGTCCTGTAAAGCCTGGGCACACAAGGACTGCACAGATGGAAGGGATTCCTACACTTGCCACAACTGTGACTCGGACTAGGCCTACCGAGCCCCCCACCCCCTCTCTCTGTTGTTGAGAGGTTGTTGAGATGTTTGAGTTTAAACTTTAAGATGTTAACCCATTACCCATTAAATAATTTTCTTGCATTAAATTTGACGGTTTCACCTCTTTTTTGTTATGTAGTATGGAAAAAGGTAATCAAAAATATTAAATTAATAGTCACAATAACATGACTGATACATAATATTTTCCATTTTGAGTAGGTTATATCATTAATTCATTATGTAGCCTATATTTTAGACATGTTACAACCGTCCCTGACATACGTTACAACCGTCCCTGTACACTGGGACGGTTGTAACAGTGGAGATACTGTGTTGAAATTAATTTTGCAACCTATACATATTTCATACAACCACTTTAATACATTGTTTTAGCAGTTGACGGATTGAAGTTTATAATATAACAAATTGGATATTCCAGTATAAATGGTTTTTGATGTATTGCTAAAAATTGCAAAAAGTGTTACAACTGTCCCTGGTCTCCCCAACACCACGAAAATATTGTATCTACTTTTTCACACTCCTTTTTTTAAAAAAATAAGTGTTATTTTCTGGCACATTGGGGCCCTACAAAGCATTATTTTCAATAATTCTTTCTATTTTACATCTTGCATTGCTTTATGGATCTACAATTAAAACAGCTGGAGCACTTGCTTTGCGGTCAGGTGCCCAAAGAAACACTGTTGCCATAAATAAAGATTGAGTGCAACCAAGGGTTTAATACAAAGCTATGGAATGTTAACACAGGGTATTCCCTCAAAATAATTACACTTTAACTTCATTAAGTAAATTAGAGGTGTATAAGGCGACAGACTCACCACACTTCTGCTATTGCCACATCTTGGTTTGGAGATGGTGTGGTCACAAAATCATTGGATTGTCACTTTATTAATATGGGTTTACCAGGGGGAGTGGGATTTTCACAGCATTAAAATGTCGCCTGTTGAAATCACACATAATGATACCTTTGCGAATCATTAGCTAATGATTAATTAAAGCAGACAACTGGAAGTTGAAGTGCATAGCTTTGACTAATTGTGGTAATTAACACATTAATTTACACTATTAGTTAATAAAATATGTTATTAAGGAATTAATACACAATGACACATTGAATTAATAGCAATTCATGTATTACTTAATCTATTAATCATATAGACTCTTTATTAGTTGCTGATGCAGTAATCATTAATTAATGGTTTAGTTCTTCATTAGTTATACATTAACTCATGATTATCTGTGTATTAGTTAAGCATGAATTAATGCATATTAGTGCACCCGTATTGTAAAGTGTTACCAAATCTTTTATTGAACCAGCAACTGCATGTTTTGTAAACTCGGGTAAAGAGACAAGAGCTATCATCATGGTACACCCAAATAGTCCATCTGACCATTATGACAAAGATGATGTGATACGTGTAGCCTACTTCTTCTAAAGTGTATTATAAAACGTGTAAGAAATGTGATGTTACTTTAAATTATTCCAGCTGGATCCCCAGGACTATAAATACATCCTTGGGATCATTAATGACTGCAATCATTGGACTCTGACGGTAATATTATTTTCTCATGACCTAATTTGTGTTTTAATGCAGTTATGTTTCTAAAACTAAACTTCTAGTTAAACTCAGTAAGGCTAAGAAACCTATTCTAAAAAAGTTATAATCACTTACTTTTATTAGTAAGATCAGCAGTTACATTTTACAGTGTGATGTTTACTCATTTCTTATGTTTATATGTGATGTGGTTAGGCTGTTTCATGTCTTTGTTTTTGTGAGTTCTAATATTTTAATAATTTCACATTAAGGTCATGATCCCACAAGAGGGGAGGGCTTTATACCTGAATCCATTGGGGGAGAGCAAAACAAATGTAAAGAGATGTAGGGATGTGACAAGGTAATCCAGCCTTCATAGCACCTTGCGTGAAACATGAAACTTGAAAACATGAAAACGTGAGAGGACTGTTCTACTTTTATGGTTTTCTTTTCCATTTCATTCAGATCATTCATGAGACAAAGGGGTGTCCACATATCAAGGTGGATGTGTGACACAGTACCACACCCACTGCAAAAAGACAGCAGTTCCTGTGGGGCCTTTGTCTTAAAAGTAACTAAACAATCAAAGTGCACTTAATACAGTATCATTGTTTTATATTATGTTGAAGAGGCAGAAACACACTCTCTCTCTCTCTCTCTCTCTCTCTCACTCTCTCTCTCTCTCACTCTCTTACTCTCTCTCTCCCTCTCTCTCTCTCTCTCACACACACACACACGCACACACACACACACACACACACACACACACACACACACACACCAGGTTTGATCAAAAAAAAAATACATTTGAAAAGATTACTAGTTATAGCGATTATAAAACGTAACATTAATTATTACAACGTAACACTGTAAAACTATTTGCCTCTGAACCACATTGTCTGTTGTTTATAGTTTGCAGAATGTATCTTGAAGGAGGAGACGATAGACGTTTCCTCCTCCGCAAAAGCAGTCAAAACAATCAGGTTTGAAATAGCCACCTGCCTCCTAAAAAACACAGGTAAGAATTCTGGACTTGCAATGAGTTTATATTAAATGTAAGCATGTTTTCAAATTAAATGTGGTATTTAATATCACACTATACTGTATTTTCTATATTTGAATCATTGTTAGAAGACTTGATGGACCTGTGTTTTATCTGTGGGGAGAAGGAGAATGGAACTGACTGGGTAAGTATACCACTGTATTCTGTGTGTAAAACATAATTTTAAGATATTTGCATTGAAATTATTGTTTTACTGTAAGAGTATATGCTAAATATGTATATTAAAACGTTTAGATATGCTGTGATGTGTGCTCACGGTGGTTCCACTGCAACTGTGCTCACAAGAGTGTGAGAGTGAAGAGCTTTGTCTGCCGGGCCTGCACCTAACAGATAAAAAACTCTCTGACTGTAAATAGTTCATTTTAGTAGTGTTTATTGTAATTTTGTTATTGTTATTCAGTGCATGGAATGTAAATAAAGTTTTCTTTGTAAATTCTTAAATGGATAAGTAACCCAATGGCAGTAGTGTGGTGAGTCTGTGACCTTAGACACCTGTGCAGGTGAGGGGAGTGTGATTTCAACAGGTGACATTTTAAACGTGTCGATGCGCGGGTTAGGGTTAGGCCTATGTCACATTGAGCACTGAGCAGCAAAATAAATAAATAAATAAAATAAGTAGCTTAATTTCACAAAATTCTTCACAGAAGCTCAAAGCTTAAAGCTGCTGTCCATAACTTTTTTAAGTTAAAAATAATCCAAGATAATTATTTAAAAAATATATATATATATATTCTGCCAGTGGTCAAAACTATCTGCTTGCCATAGCTAGATTCAAAACGGTTAGCTTGTAATAATGATTTTAATTCCAGTGGTACTGCTGGGTTTCCACAGGAAATTCGAGCATGTCTTTGCATCATTACGTCACACCCATAAACACAAAGGCCGTTTCTCAATATGCGTTCTTGTCAGTACTTGTGTCCTCGTGGACTTGTGAAACGTCATCAGTTGCGGCCCAAGTACTGTTCCAATTCAAAGTTCACATCTAGCCAAGTCCAGTTCAAATCCCCGGATGTGTTCTTGATCCGCCCCGTTTACCGAGGATGCATCGAGAGGTGACTTGTGCGGACTTGATACGGGCCATAACCCAGAATTCATTTCGCGCAATGGCGGAAGAGAAAACTCACAACTGTAAGTACTACATTTCGATATATCTACTTATTGTTATATCAAGAGTTTCAATGCCAGAATGTTGTTTAAACTTAAAAGCTACCGTCGAATTTTAAGGTTAGCAACTAACGTTATTTGAAAATATGCTCAGAAGATTTCTTAGTTGAAAAATCCAGACGATCCTTCGCTGGTGTAAATAGAGTTAGGTTAACCCTCGGCAAGTCCTCCTAAAAATATAACTTAACGTTATAAAATATGCCTGTCTTGTTCCTGTAAGTTAGTGGATAAACATTTGATCTAACGTTACCGTACTTTAGCCTAATGTTACTTACTTCAAAGGCAAACCTCTAGATTACTTTTCTCGGTTTGACCAAATAGTTTGTCTTTTAATTTTTTAACCAAATTATTTTAGAATTGTATTATTTTTCAGTGAAACTTAAATTAAGGATTTTTTTTTTCTGAGGAAACTCGGGCCTTGATTGAGTGGCGGGCGGCCAACAAAAATCTGTTCACTGTGAGACGCAATTCCTCCAAAAGTGGATGGGAGTGAGTATTTAATTTGAGTGCTTGTATAATTCCCTTTATGTCTGAAGGTTTGGAGCTAGATTTGGACACTCTTCATCCATGCAAATGAATACGTTATTGAATTGGAATCATATCAATCTTTATTGTTTTATTTTGCCTATAGGCATTTCGTTTCCATTTCTGGTTTGGCCATAACTGCCAAACAGGCCAAGAAGAAATGGAACAATTTGAAAGATAAATATAAGGTAACGTAATATGCCTGCTTCTCCACTATCTGTTACAGAAAGAGCCTAACAAGATGTGTGTAAAGACTTTCCAGTCATAAATGAAACCCAACATGGATGCATGGGCCCTTACATTTTATCTTGTAAAATGTAGTCTACTCTTACATTGTTTAATCTGAGACTTTAAAAAGAATAGCTCATCCCAAAATGGATGTCATTTTATTCACTCACAGGTTTTAAGTTGTTTTCAGTTGTTTCACACCTGTATATAATTCATACATATATATATTTTTTCCTCTACACAAAGGAATAATATTTGTAATCTAACAGTTCTGTCATTTTTTGGTGCCTCAAAACTGTAAGATTACAAATATTCAAAAGAATACCTTACTTTGTGTAGAGCAAAAAAACAAAAAAATGTTTCAAAGTGTGGAACAACGTGAGGGTGCGGACATGACGTCATTTTGCTTTTTTTCAGGAGCTTAGGGACCCACCGACAGGATAAGGGGTAGAGGCCGGTAGTGTGACTGCTGCCACCTGGCAGTGGTACACTGCAATGGATGCTGCACTCCAGGGGCAGCACTCTATTAGTCTGCCCCTGGTTGTTGCATCAAACCTTACTGCCACTACAGGTGGCTCAGTCAGCACACCAGCTTGTACCCCTTCTGAGGAAGCCAGTAGCTGCCAGCGGTCAAGAAAGAGGCAACGGGACAGCCAGGCTCTTCTTGACTTCCTTAAAGAACAGGCAGAGAGGGAAGAGGAGAGGGAGAGAGAAGCAGTGGCGAGAGAAGAGGAGAGAGAGAGGGCAGCAACAGCCAGAGCAGAGACATACCTGTCTCTGTTTGAAAAACTTGTTAATAAATTATAAATATTTTATTTAAATAAATGTTTGAAATAAAATTTAAAAAAAAAATCTTTCCATTTCAACCCTGGCAAATCAGTATTGTTGGAACTTTATATTGTATGGAAGAGAGAGGCCGCACTTTGCATATACAGTTTTATTATACGTATAATAAAACTGTATATGCAAAGTGCGGCCTCTCTCTTCCATACATGCATTGTCATTATTAGGCCAGCACTCTTAAAATAATTTGAGGTATAAACTTTGAGTGAAGCCTGCTCCAACCTCCATTTATTCATGGAACTTTATATTTACAACAAAAATATATGCAATGTCTAGTAGTAATTTGTCTCTTATCTTAACCAATCTTAACTGTTCTATTTCATCAGAAATGATCTTAAAACAGGGCTTTAAGTGTAAAATACCTAACTAACCCTTTAAATCTGAAGAAGAACATACCAACATAAAGAAAACGTATAAAGCTATCTATCTTTACATCCATCTACTTGCACATTTATTCATACCTATCTTTCTAAATTAAATCATAACGAATGTTTTAACTGTTTATGTTCCTCTGTTAATGAACTTGACACCACCTGGAAAGGTTTACTTTCTAGATGTAGTCATGTTCAATTAGACATGCAGGCAGTTCCTCAGGAGAAGAAAGCTGAGCAGCCAGACGTCCTCGGAGATGGTTCCCTGATAGGTCCCTCTCACCCACTGCTGCATTCTCACCATCCTCGCAGTCTTCTTGTCCTTGGCTTTCGTCGTCGTCGTCGTCGTCCTCCTCCTCCAAGAGATCTCCTCCCATCACACAAATGTTGTGGAGGATGCAACAGGCACCAATTACCTTTGGGGCGAACAGTGGCCTGATCTCCAGGGCCCGCAAGAAAATTGCACGCCAGCGAGTTTTTAACATCCCAAAGGTGCGTTCGATGATGGTCCGTCCTTGTGCATGATACCTGTTGTATCGGGCCTCAACTTGGCCTGTTAATCAGAAGTTTGGTTTATCTTCTGTCTGTGCGTCTGTCTGTCTGACATAAAACAAGTGTGTTCTTACTTGCAACAGGCTGGCGGTATGGGGTCATGATTGCAATAGGATGCTGCAGGCATGGGTATCCACCATCTCCCAAGAGACAGTATCCAGCTGGTGGATACAGAGCCTGCTGGTACATCGGTGATCTGCGCAGCACAAGGGCATCATGTACAGAGCCTGGATTGCCAATATACACATCTATAAATGTGCCTTTGGCATCACAGGTGCCCTGCAGAATGATGGAAGGTAAGATCTTTCTATTTATGTAGCACTTTTTTTGTGGCTGTGCTGGAGGAACAATTCTGATGTGGCACCCGTCCATGGCACCAGCGACACAGCGGAATGCCTCATGGCCAGCAAGGCGAGCAAAGCCATCCCCCACCTCCTCCATTTCCTCTGCGTTTGGAAAATGAATTATTTTGTGGATGATGGTCATCATCTCCTCAATGACATTATGAACAGTCCTACAAACTGTTGAAAGGGGCATGCAGAAGGTATCTGATGTGACCCTGTAGGACGCTCCACAAGCAAGCCAATAAACTGTCACAAGTACTTCAATTTCATGGCTCCATCCATGTGCTTTCTGACGGGGCAGCATCTGGACATGTTGATGCTGTTCCTGGAGAGCCTGAAGGCTGGCTTTAAGTCCCCTCCAGAAAAAAACTTGACCAGGATGGGTACCTGGTCATTGATCTGGGAATACCTTCGAGTGGGACTTTTTTCCTGTCAAAATATGTAGATAATATATAAAATAAGAATGTGTTTACTTTTGTTCTATTATGTAGCCTATTTGTTAAAGTAAAATCTTTTTTAAAAGCTATAAATATATGTACTTGCATTATGTATTATATTTTTTAAATGTTTTTACTATTTTTAATGTTTTTTATTACTATAGGCTATTTATTTTAGGGATATTGTCTAAAATTAAAGTCTGCCAGAATTAAATTTCCCTCTCAAATTGGCTGTTTTCTTGAAGTAGTTGTTTACTCAATTTCGTTTTCATTTGTTTACTGATAATCACTAGAACATTCTTCCCAGAGTCTAAAAGTTGTAGCCTATATGATTATTATAGACATTAAATGTCCTGTTTGTGTTAATATAGTAATATGATGTGAACATAACGTTAACTATAAAGATGGTAAACAAAGTATCAACTTATTTGAGCAACAAAAAGACAAATAAAAGGTGTGTGAAGTGTAAGCTAGTTAATTTAAATGTTTTTTATTAACTGTCAGACCTCTATTTTACCTGTCAGTTTATTTGGTACACTTTGAAAAATCTAATATGTGTCATGACATCCCTGCAATAGTTCACATAACTGTTGTGAGATAGTGCTGATAAGGTGCCTATATGAATGAATTATATATATATATATATATATATATATATATATATATATATATATATATATATATTTAACACCTGTTAGAAATACATTATTATTATTACTACTACTTTTAATTTGGATATTATATAAACTATAAAGTCCACATAACTATATGGGCAGTTTATGAAGAAAGAATAATTACAAAAACGTACAAAGCTGGAGAGACATGCTAATATGGCACGTCTCTTTGCCGTCCTCCGCTGTATCCTTACTCTTCTTTTAATTATTTGCCTCCTCCGTTCGGCAGCCTCCTCTTCAGCATTTTGGTAAAGAAAAGCAATTGCAATGGCAACCCTAAGCTTATTTTCCATTTTGGTGTAGCCTACACTGATTTTCAGTTTTCCGTGGTTTTCCCGCTTTTTTTTTTTTTTTTAAATTGTAGCTGATGAAAAAGTGCAGTTGTCTCACATATTTTATTTTATTTTTAAACTACGTAAATATAATAAGAGTGGGTAATGTTACTTGAATCACATATTAATAGGCTATATAGTTAAAAAAAAAAGAAGAAGAAGAAGCAGTTGTTTAATATATTACATTTTATTATAAATATAAAGTGAAAATAATCAGAGTAGGTACATATTGTTAATACTAATATATTAATACATTGAAAATAAAAAAAGATGAAGTTAATTTAAGTAAGCCTGTAGTAGGCGTGGTGAGTGTACCAAGTACGCTGCCGTTCCATTTGTAGAATGACTGGACTCGCGTCTTCCCGTCCTCGAGAGTTCGTTCTTCTGAGTCGAACTTGGCAAGTCCAAACTCGGAAGGACGCAAGTCCAGACTCTGCGAACTAGGTATTGAGAAACGCCTAAAGAAGGCGTTTCGAAACTTTCGGTTACCCGGCCGGCTATACTGCGCGTGAGGAGATGTAAAGATGTAATGTTATAGGCTTTTCTCGCAGGCTCGCAGCACTTCACATAATTAAACTTATGGCATCCAGAAAGATCCAAACAACAATCATCAGTGTCAACTGGAGATTCAGCAGTTATAAAAGCCAAAAGACTTCATACTTCGGATTTAAGGTGTCTAGAGAAAGAGAAAGAAACCGTCTCTTGCGAACACAAGGATTTAAACATCGGCGGGGCTTTTGAAAAGTTAACTCCGTGTTTTGAAGGGGTTCAAAACGGAAGAAGAGACTGCTTTTTTCTGCTGAACAAGTAAAGGCTGGTTCACACGGGACGATTTTAAAATTGTCGGCCGATTTTCCAAACCTGAGAGACCCCACACACAGCGATAAAAAATCACGGGTCAACGGTTTTGGTCGTACCGTGTGTGGTGCGCAGCCACACAGCAAAATCAACACATCACACACGAACCGATTTGACTCCCGAGCATTCCTAGGTCAGACGGAAAATCTCGCAAAATCCCTCGAGATCAAACGTGACTTCAGAGTAAACAATCATGGTGGACGAAGAGGATGCAGTGGCGATAGTGTGTAGTTTGTTTTTAATGAAAAAAAAAAAACGTCCTATACTGCCGGGCGCCGGCTGTTTTGATTTTGTTTCCCACCGGTGCTTCCTCTACGCCTCGTCACCTCGCTTTCTGATTGTCTACATGCCACAGTTCACAGGCTGCGTGCTTGTTCGTCCCCGGGGGACACCACAAACGAGGAGAAATCGGGCCAAAACAATTCAACATGTTGAGATCGGAGCGGTCCCGGCATCCTTCCGAGCAGACGAGAGCAGTCTTAACACACCACACACGGCAGGAATATCTGAGCAGATTATTTTACGATAATCGGAGCATCCTTAAGATTGTCGGGGCTAAAATCGGGCTAATAATCGTGCCGTGTGAACCAGCCTTAAGACATTTCAATAGTTCAATCGTGTAACAGTACGTTTTCTTAATTCACACAGTTATGAGGTTTCCTTTGTTTTGCCTTTCTCGTTTAGCTATTATGGAGAATATGAATTCTGAACTACAGGTAACCATAAAACACATTAAATTTAACATTAGTCACGCAATGCTGATGTTGTTAACATGAATAATTTGAGAATTTGCACGGTTGCTGTAAATCGCGTTGATTAAATCTAACGACATGTCGAATGCTTTTCCCCCTTAGTTGATCAAAACAAAGATTTCGAACAGAGATGGCGACAAAGAGGAAAAGCTACGGGCTGCAGCTTTAAACAGAATTACGCTTTGAACTTCAGAAACAGCCCACCTGTTCAGATGATCCGATGGAGCTCATATTGATCATCAGGGCAGCTACATTAGGCCTAAAAACGGGTTCACTGTAAACCTGGATTGTGTTAGACCTTATGGATGTCTAGAACACAGAACATGAACTGACATTAAAACTGAGCGATCCTGTCGGCGTGTCGGGAGATTTAAATAGCCCAAGGAATTAACTTACGCTGTTGTGCCACCTGTGTAAATGCGCACAGCGTCTCTCTTAACTCTGTTTTAAAATCACAATAAAGTAAACCTAAACGTTGCTTTAGTGTTGTCCTAGTCACTGTTTTCACCAACAGCTGGAACAGGCCTCATTAGGAAAGAGACAAGACTACAAATAAATCTAAATTTTCGACGTAGGCTGCTCATGATGATTGAAACATAATTAAAGGAAATACACTATCTGTAAATATAGACTATAAAAGCCAATATCAATATTAAACATCCACAGATCTCTAACAATACAGTAACTCTTTGCTAATGGCTATTAAAACAGCATGACAAAAATAAATAAAAGTTTATATGAAATGGTCTGTGTACGTTGTGTTCATTCGTATTTCGATTTGATATTGAAAGTAGAAAAATGAGAAAACGGCTCATTTATTCTTTTTTCTTTTTTCCAAAAAAATCAAAAAATGAGAATTCTGCTTGATTTTTATATTTTTATGTTCAGGGATAGAAAAAGGAAAAATGGCTTGAATATTCGATTTCCACATGTGGGCGCACATGAAACGCCCCTTTCTGCTGATTGGTCAACCAAAGATCAATGCTTTCCGTTCTTCCACAGTCCTCCACTGCTGGATGGATTCTTAAAGTGTTCATTACAAATAAACTCTCTTTAATCCAACAACCGGACTAATGCTTGACACAAATCGCGCTGGGCAGGGCATTATTATCTTTTTTTTTTTACTGTCTATGGTATCAACCAAAGAAGCTGCATCTGATTTCTGAACTGGCATGTAGACCTATTAGCCTACTATTAATTGTTTAATGCTGCTCAGAGGATTTACACAGTAATTACAATTACATAGTATTATGAAAGAACGTTTAAAATATAACATTTTGAATAGCCTTTTAAATATGAAATTAATGACAAAATGAAACAATACTTAGATTATGAGAGTAAGACCCCCAGTAGGTGGCAGCACGTAACTGTCTCTAGTCAGTCAGTCAGTGAGTCATTCATTCAACCGATTCGTTCAAAACTAATGATTCATTCATGAACCACTTGGCTATATTTGGGACATTGAATCATTGAATCAAGAAAACCCTTTCTAGTCCCTGCTCAGCGCGATTTGTGTTAAAGAATCAGTCCAGCAGCGGAGGACTGTTATTCTGTGGAAACTGTTAAAAACTGTGGAAGAGCTGAAAGTGTTGATATTTGGTTGACCAATCAGCGGAAAGGGGCGTTTCATCCGCGCCCACACGTGGAAATCGAATATTCAATCCATTTTTCCATTTTCTATCCCTGAACATAGTGACCAAACTCCATCGCACACCTGCAGGTGATAGGTGCGTCGGATAATAAGACCAGCTAGTCATTCAAGCAGATAAGGAACTCCCGCACACTATCATTACTTGCACTTTTTAATCAAGTTTATTCACACACAACGTTTCGGTCACCGAAACGTTGTGTGTGAATAAACTTGATTGAAAAGTGCAAGTAATGATAGTGTGCGGGAGTTCCTTATCTGCTATCCCTGAACATAAAAATATAAAAATTCAAGCCAAATTCTCATTTTTTAATTTTGTGGGAAAAAGGAAAAAAGAATAAATGAGCTGTTTTCTCATTTTTCTACTTTCAATTTCAAATCAAAAAATGAATGAACGCAACGTACACAGACCTGAAATAATGGAGACCATTTCAAATGTCAAG